AGCAACTTAACAAGACTGTATGTAAGCTTAGCAAGATCCTGTCTCAAAATTAAAAAATAAAATAAAAGAACTGGGGATGTGCCTCAGTGGTAAAATGCCCCTAGGTTCAATCCCCAATATCTAAATAAATAAATAGTTCAAGGAAGTACTTATTAGAGCTGGATTAATATTTGGCTGAACAATTTTATATCTTTTTGGCAAAAGTTTGATGGGACAGAAGAAAAGTATTATTTAAATAATAACTTCATACCATAAAACATTAATTCTTAAGTTTACTACATATTTTTCATAAAGAGAATATCAGAAATATTTTGACAAATCAAGAAGATAGTAGGAAAAAAAGTAAGAGACCTAAACATCCACTTCATAGAGGACATACAAATAATCAATAAACATGAAAAAAATTGCTCAACTTCATCATAATCAAGGAAGTATAAAAGAAAACTAAAAGGAATACCACTACTCACCCAAAAGAATGATTAAAATTAAAGAGCTCAACAGTACCAGTGTGACTGGAATTCTCATGTGCTGCTTGTAGAAGTGTAAATTGTTGACAATAGTCGAATATAACATATGTATACCTTATGTTCCAGCAGTTTACTTCTATACACACACACACACACACACATAAATGCATATATACGTGCAACAGACAACATGTATAAGAATATTTATATAGCAACATTATTTGCAAAAGCTTAAAACTAGGAATCACTCAAATGATTGTTAGCAACAGAATGGATTTTGATGATTGTGTATTTAAACAGTGAAATACTATATAACCATAAAAATTAATCATCAGCTGCTACAGACAACAGATTGTGTGTGTGTGTGTGTGTGTTGTGCTGGGAATTGAACTCAGAGCTTCACACATGCTAGGCAAGTACTCTATTATTGGGATATACCCTCAGCTGCAGACAACAAATTAATTCCAAAACAGTGGTGAACAAAAGAGTACACGGGGTGAATTTCAAAAACAGGTAAAATGAATTTATGATAAGCATGTTGGTTACCTTTGGGGAGGGGCATGAAAAAGCCTTTTTGAGTGCTGGTAATCATAATCTTTTCTAAGCCTGGATGATTATATGACTGACTCATAATTCTTTAAGCCTCCAGTTATAATTCGCATACTATTCTATTATGTATCAAACTTCTAATTTTAAAATATTTTGAAAGGTACAGGCACTAGTTAATATTCATTTGGAGAACAAATTATTTTCAAAATACAAAAACACAGAGTGAATATCTCTAATACACAGAAAGCTTCTACTTGGTTCTAAAGAAAAGTTGAATAGACCAAGAGAAAGACAGGCAAAAAAAAATATAAGTAGATAGCTCAGAAATGGCCAGTAAACCTACAAAAATATGCTCCAATTCAGTAATCATCTGGAATTAAAAGAATTATAATACTCATTGTTAACTGTCAGGCCTATGAAAATAGATGAGAAGGGTACGCTCACTTGATGTTTGAAATGTGAATTTTAGGGAAGGTAAACTAACTATTCAAATTTAAAATACACATACCTCAATCCAGCAGTCATACTTCTGGGAATAAATTTCATCAGCACAAAAGCTTCACAAGGATGTCTATTTCAATGTTACTGTAATAGCTAGCAATCAAACAAACACTTGAAATCAACCTAAATGGTTATAGCAAGAGATAGTTCAATGAATTGTTCTAAAATTATGAAATATCATACAACTATTAAAGAGGTTATTAAATTACATTTCTGTGTATATATAAAATTAGGTGAGAAAAGCAAAATGCCAAAATGATATATATAGTATGAGCTCTCTTATACCAATTATCAAAATCATATAAAGGAATATGTAGGTTTTATATGATTTTATAAACATGGAGAGAGCTGTGAAAGGTTGCATACTAATCTGTCTACATTGATTACTGGGAATAATTAGTGGAGGAGGATTGATAAATAAAGGTAGAACTGAACAAGCATACAGTGAGTCCACTCATGTGAATGGCTTTTTTTTTTTTTGTGTGTGTGTGTGTGTGTGTGTGCGCGCGCGCGCATATACAGCTAAACCCATGATCATGACAGCAGGATCCTGCTATCAACCTATTTCAATGGTTGATCTCCCACTGCAGTCCACTCAGAACATCTACTACATTAAAGAGTTATATATTCAATGTATATCTGAAAACTTGATGAAAAAAGTATATTTGGACCCTCTTGAGAATGGGGACATGGTTTAACATTATAGCATTCATGTCTAAATTTTTTCTAATAGAGAGTTATGTTGAGAAATGTCTCACATTTCAAGTTAAGGTTTCAGTGAGTCAACCAACCAACCAGTTAAAATTACTCTAGCTATTAGAATTAGCATTTATTGTAATTAGAATATCTCACACTGGTAATGTGCTCTCATATTGATCAATTAAATCCAATTTAAAATTTATTTATAAAACCTCATGCCGCATGCCTGTAATCCCAGCTACTTGGGAGGCTGAGACAGGAGGATCACAAGTTCAAGGTCCTAGCAACTTAGTGAGGCCTTTCTGAAAATAAAAAATAAAAAGGGATATGGATGTAGCTCAAACATAAAGCACCCCTGATTTCAATCCCTGGTACCAAAAACCAAAACAAACAAAAACCCCATATATTAAAATGAATTCTTTTTTAATAGAGACTTAATTATCCTTTGTTAGAGTATAAGTTTTAAACTTACTAAAAGCAGGATATGTTAGTGATTCATTTGTCTCGATGCCTCATAGGTATAAATACATGGCAAATACTTATTCGAATGACTAAGGTAAAGATGACAAGATCATTATGTGCTATTACAGTGAGAGTTGTTCTTTGTATCAGTCTATACCATGCATTGCAATGCCCACTCAGTGCCTGTAGCACTCTGCATTCACTCATCTAAAACCTACCCTTCCCCCAGTTTCCAGAAGCCTTTGTGGTGGGAGGGAGTGGTGCTACCATTGTTGAGAAGGAAAGGCTAGAATGTTTGAAGACGTGTTTATAAGGGTGGCAGTGATGGAGCTATACCTTGAAGGATAAGGAGGATTTTAAAACCAGAGAAACTGGGAACAAACAGTGTTGTTAAAGAGGGAGTAACATAATGTAGACTGACTGATGAAGTGGTGGGCAATAGCCTGTGTTGGATAATAGTTAGAAAGAAAGAGTGGAGTGAGAAATAAAAGTGGAGTGGAGTTTTAAGGGTTTTGATAGGAAGGAGCCTGACTGGTGAGAAGAGAAAACTGTCATTTCACTCCCTCACACATCCTGCATACTACCACCAAGTTAATTTTCTAAAATATCGCCCTGTTCAACAGACCACTTAATAACACCTTTACTTTGTGCCCAAGGCTTTTTATTGTGTCAGATTCATTAAGTTTATCTCCTATACGTAAAATTAATTAGGTATGGCTGACCGGCTGATCAAACTGATATTTCCCCTCCTTCCTCGTCAACATGCTCATTTCATGCTTTTATTAATCTCTTTCTTACTTTATATAAATCTGTCCTCCTTCTGCCTAATGATACTGGCTTGTGCCACTCCACACCATCCTGATGTCTCCTTTCTCTTATAATTTTTATATTTTTTCTTGTAGTATTTAGTACAGAATCATAAATGGCTTTTCATGCTTCTCATTCTTGTTTTTCTGAATAATTTTTATTCTCCTAAAGACTGTGTAAGGTCAAGTTATATGCCTCACAATATTCTTGTAAGCCTCCAAGATAGCTTTTTGTTTTGATTTTTGGTCAGTTGATATAGATATTGCTTTTGTATGAAATTATTCGATATAGAAGTAAATATTAAGTACCCTAAAAACTGGAATTCTGCATTTATAGATCATAAAATTTATTACTGCTGCATTGTAATGCTTCATATTTTAATTTGTCAAATACTTTTTGTTTTAATAAAAAGATTTTTTAATTTGAGGAATAGAAACCAAGATGTGTATGTCTCCGTTTCCCTTATAATGCCTTGTACAATGCATTGCTCACAATTAGTACTCTATATCTTAAAAACTTAATGGTTTTTTTAATTTGCTTTATCAGTTTTTCTTAACTGTACCTGTGTTCACACCATTTCTTTGTTTTGCCAACAACAGAGGGCACCATTAGGATACTTTTACACCAAGGAATAGCCCTTTCCCAGTCCTTCGTTGCTTTATAGGGTGACACTTTCTTTTCCTAAGCAGTATCATATAAATTTGAATACTATGCTAAATGGAAGTGGTTCTATCATGATTATAGGAAAATATTGGCTTCAGGTTATTTATTTGAAAAAGAGTAAGTACTGTCAAATTTTGATCCTTTGTGGTTTTCAAACTTTTTCTCCTAATTCTTCTCATTATTCTTTAAGTGAAATCTTCCAAGATCTTATTATATTAATTAGATATCCTCCCTTTTGAAGGGAGGAAGAGATGGAAGGTAACAATCTAGAACTCAACCTTTGCACTGTTTCCTTCTCACCCCTTATCCATAGGGCAGTTTGAAAATCACCGCAACTCATCTAATTAAAAATGCTTTTTAAAAAACTTATTTTGTGATGTCTCACCTAGGAACTTGGTTTAAAAATAGAAACATTTTGGTTGTAAAGTGATTTTTTTTTTTTTAAGTACAAAGAAAAACGCTCTGGAATACATTTCTTGTTTCAGCAATAAAAGAGTTAATATACTAAGCAGTAAAGACTGAGATACTGCACTGGGATAGTGCTTTCTGTCTCTGTCATTTGTGGTTTAAGAAAAGGGGGTGGTGTTCTGCATTTGAAAGGACTTTAATGAATGCTGTCAGTGTTTGTGAGAGCTAATGGCCAGTATGGGAAGGGAGAGCAGGGAAAGTGGTCTTGCTGCTTCAGGATAGGCGGATGAGAGTTTGCTCTGATTGAACGGAATGTTCCACCGGGTTTCATCTTTATGCATTATCCTTTGTTCTTTATAATCTGATATATTGGCATAAAAGTAAATGTAGATATATATATGTGCATGTAATTTATATTCTCTTAAATCTGTTTGTTGTGTACAGCAGGGCATATACTTCTCTTATCTTGGTTGGATGCACAAATCTGTGTGCAGTGCTTTTTGCCCGTTGCCTAGACGATCACTTGGTTTCTCTGAGGATGTCTGGTTCTCGTAAAGAGTTTGATGTGAAACAGATTTTGAAAATCAGATGGAGGTGGTTTGGCCATCAAGCATCATCTCCTAATTCTACAGTTGACAGCCAGCAGGGAGAATTTTGGAATCGAGGACAGACTGGAGCAAACGGTGGGAGAAAGTTTTTAGATCCATGTAGCCTACAATTGCCTTTGGCTTCAATTGGTTACCGAAGGTCCAGCCAACTGGATTTTCAGAATTCACCTTCTTGGCCAATGGCATCCACCTCCGAAGTCCCTGCATTTGAGTTTACAACAGAAGATTGTGGCGGTGCACATTGGCTGGATAGACCAGAAGTGGATGATGGCACTAGTGAAGAAGAAAATGAATCTGATTCCAGTTCATGCAGGTTGATTATTTTCTTACTGTTAGAAATGGGGTGTGGGGGTGTATTCTCTATAATGTTTTAAAATAATTTAGCATTTTTATTTTAAAACTTGATTATTTGTATATCCTCATACATATATAGTATCTTGGTATGAACATGTACTTTTTGCTAGGATTTAAAACAATGTTATAACAATTTTGTAAAATTATAAAGATAAACATATAACATTCATTTTGAAATATCTTGTGTTCTATATATAGATCTGGCTCTGCTTTGAAAATACAGTACCAGTTTTATGCATCATTGACAGGCGGTTTGCTTCCTTCATTTACCTTCTATATTCATAGCAAAACTAGAGAAGACATTTCTATTGTATAAAATTTTGTGACATTTTAGTTTATAATAGATTGTAGAGTCAAATATGAGTTTAATGAAAATGAAAGGTTTTACAAAGAGATACACTTATAATTGCCTATTTTTGACACCATTTTAGTTGTCAATACTATTTTTCTATGGTTATTTCTCTTTGTCCTATCTATGTTGCAGCTCTCAGACTAATACAGAGAATACTAAGTAACATGTCTCTTTCTAAGATGACAGCTACTAATTCCAGTTATCTTCACTTTGACTGACATCTGTGTTTTTAGGGAAATGAAGGACATCTTTTCAGGAGAGTTTAAGGGAACATAGAGGGGCCAGATGTGGTCAGCTGGTAAAAAGGGGTCAAAAAGAAGGGGAATAAGTTGGAAGAAAAATAAATCAATAAAAATTGATAATTTCATAATGACTTTATGCATCTTCATCCTTGGAATTTGGCTTTATCTTTGAAATGGATTTTCTTATTAATCAGTTTAAACCACTATAACAGATCATATAACAAGTTAGAGCATGAAAGTCATCTTTCTGATTCACCTTCACTCAGAAATATTCCTAAATATTAAAAGGCACTGATGTTTGCGATTTAACTGGTTTAATTCTTTATTTTTTCTTTTAAAATTTCTTTGCATGTTTTGACTATACTTAAAATTCACTTGTTAGTTATGATTAATGTAAGCATCATAAGGGATTGAGATAAAATGAATTCAGATATTCAGGTATCTCTTATTTGGGGATATTTACCACCTTTTCCTCTTCTAACCTTCAGAACATGGAATTTTGAACTGTGGTGTTGAAGTGATGAAAGATATAGACAGTCATCTGTAATCATTTGAGTAATGGAGGGGAGGGATAGCTTTACACTGGTAAATAGTGTATCTAATTCACAGTGTTTTAAATTAATTTGTAAATTTTCATTATCTTAAAGGAATAGGAGCCACTAATACTTTTAATATGGAGATCAGTTGAGCTAATGTGATTTCATTGTTTTGTATTATCTTTGGAGACTTGTTGCCCTAAAGAGAATAACTTATATAGTAAAAGGTTCATGGTTTTTCATTTTTGTGGGAAGCTAAAGATTAATCACCATTTCATTTGAAAATCAATATGTCAAGAATATTTAAATAAAATTAGAAAATATGAAGCATTCATCTCTTTGCCAGCATAGATTGTAAAACTCTTAACATGTGTCTACTACCTGGATAAATTATAATGTGAGTAAAAAACTCATATTCATGTATAATCTTGGAAACATTAGTTGCTATTGTTTACTTCCTTACAACAAATGTAGTTTGCATAGCTAATGATTACTAAAATTTAATCTTTTCTTTGGTATGCATACTGAAATATCTTGGTGAGCTGTTCATTATGAAAGAAAAAAGATACGTGTTTCAACTAAGAGATTGCTATGAGCATTCTTCAAGAATTTAAAATTGATATTTTTATTTACAAGAGATATAAAATAAAGTGGCATTTAAAAAAATCTAAAACATTTATTTTATTTTTTTAAAGTATTGTCCTTTCATCTTTTTTAAAATATCTTTATTTTATTTTTATGTAGTGCTGAGGATCGAACCAAGTGCCTCACGCCTGCCAGGCGAGCGCGCTACCACTTGAGCCACATCCCCAGCTCCCTAAAACACTTATTAAAAAATGGTAATCAAGAAAATTGAACCAAGTAAGATGGGAGTAGACAGTTCACATCTTCAGAGACCAAACTTTTCCTAAAATATTATTTCAAAAATAAAATGAACTGAAAGCATCTCTGGTTTCTAGATATAAGAGGAATATGTCAAAGCAATTTTATATACCTGATGATTTGAAATTTCACTCTTAACATCTTATTGCAAAACAGGAAAAATTTTATAGTTTAGAATGTCTTCTGTGTTTATACATGCGCACCTCTCTCTCTCTCTCTCTCTCTCTCTCTTTCCCTAGATTAAATACATATAATTCTTATATCTTCCTTCAGTCCTCTAGCTCTAAGTCTTTGACCTTTACATAAAGATACATTTATTTGCCCTCAGCTTTTTGATTAAGTGAGCAGTCAGATTTCTCTAAGTGATTTTCCTTCTACTGTAAACAAGTCAAAGGCTGTCACCGTTAACATCAAAAGAAGTTTCAGTGGCATTCATCAAATTTTTGTATATAACTTGGGAATAATTCTTTTTAAATATTTGTAAATAGTGAAATGTATTAAAACATTTGACCATATTATAGATTGATATCTTAAAATATTAAATTTAAAATATTAAAGCTATAATGGGAAATACATTTGATTTTCTAATTTCTTCTTATAGCAGTCATAATGTTTACATAGCTCCCAGAACTTAAACTGAAATTTTGAGTAATTAGAGAAAAGGAAAGTAGCTGAGTGATTTTACATACCCAGAATCACAATTCCCTCAGTGGATCTGGACCATTTAAGGCAGGAATTAAGAGGCATCATAGGAGGTAATATGTTTTGTCAGCAATATTCTGGACACAATAAATATCTGTCTGAGCATTAGACTTCTGGTAATTTCTGCTGCCATCCATCTGAGTGGTTTAAAATATTCTCACATTTTTAACTTTGATCTTGGGTCTATAACCTAGCCATCACTTCTCCATGGGAGCATCTAAGTCATTACTTTGTTATTTAAATATAAATCTTGTTTTTTTATATCACAAGAAATTTTAGATTCTAAATAACAGAACCACCTTTTTTTTTGGGGGGGGGGGAACAATAGGTTCCTAACACCTTAATTCCAGACAAATTCTTTCCAGAGATAGGAAGATTTTTATGGTGGCCCACCACATGACCATATATAAAGACAGTTTGCACCTCACTTGATTTACTCACGTTGAAATTATGTAATTTTTGACATCTTTTAAATTGAGGAAATTTCATTATTTCACATTTTGCTTATGAATTTTGGGCTATTTTTAGTGTGCATAAAATGTTATTGCCCTTTAAGAATATTCAATAGTAATGAAAGCTAATACTGTGTGCATCCTGTGAGGCACATAGGAAGTTCAGGGCACTTTAATATATTAACACAATTTTTAGTTGTTACTGCTCTCATCCTAATTCTGATTTTACAGATGAGACAGTTGAGGCACAGAAAGGCTAAGTAACTTGCTCAAGGTTAGTAAGTAAAATGGCTGTATTTTTAAAAATATTTTTAGAACAGTTTAAGATTTATAGAAAATTTGCAAACATAGTACAGTGAGTTTCTATATACCCAAACCCACTTTTCCTTATTTTTTATATCTTACATTAATATGGTATATCAGTTTCTATTATTTAGTCAATGTTGATATATTTATTATTTAACTAAAGTCCTATAGATTTCCTTAGTTTCCTACCTAGTGCCCTTTTTCTGTTCCAGGATCTTTTCCCAAATACTGCCAATATATTAAGTCACAATGTCTCCTTTGGCTCCTATTAGTTGTGATAGTTTGGCAGACTTTCCTTGTTTTTGATGACTGTGGCAGTTTTGGGAGTTCTGGTCAGGTGTTTTGTAGAATGTCTTACTCAATTGGGATTTGTCTGATGGTTTTCTCATGATTAGACTGGGCTTATGGGTTCTGGCTAAGACTACTAGAGAAATAAAGTAACTTGATTTATCACTGTAGATCCTGACCTTGATCACTTGGGAATAGATTCTTTTCTGTATTTTTTAACCGAATGCTCTGTTACCTACATACAAACAGTCATTTCTGTGTGACTATTGTTCACTAATCATAGAGTTCAAATTGGATCAATATATACCTCATTATTCATTCTAACCATTTTCACCTTCTTTCCCCAGCTAATTCTTCATCTGCCTCTTGAGAATGTAAAGCCTGTCTGGGTTACAGGTACAGTCTTTTGACCCAGCCACAACTCTGAATCCACACCCTTTGACCCATCTTACATATTGCCTTCCTGTCTTTCAACTCTAGATATCTGGAACTCTTCTATTCCTTGGTCAACCGATTTGCTTCTCGTAGCCTCATCTTGAAGGCACTTAGGTGTCCTCTTTTCCCAATAGGGTTATGTTCATAATGTCACATTTCTTCAAAGGCTGCTTTTTTTTCTTGGCCTCTTTTATGTTGACTGTGGATCTCATTGTTTGATCCAGTCTATTAATTTTGTTTAGTCTTAAATTTATATTCTTTACATTTTCATGTGAAAATAAAATTTGTTTCCAGAAATAGCAAAGTTCAACTATAATAGTTCTTGTATCTGGGAAGAATATATTGCCTTGTCTCCCTTCTCACATATGTGCCCCCATCATACCATGGACTCTCATGAGAATCTGATGTAAGCTCTTCCCAAAAAATATTCTGTGTGTCTTAAATATTGGCACATAGTTCACGGACCCCCTGAAGCCTATCTGTATGTCATATCAATCATAGTTCTTGGTTTTAAGTAACTGAAATTGATTGGATGATTTAAAAGCAATAGAAAAGTATTGAAATCATATTAATTCCCAGAATTTCTAGGAAAGCTGAAGATTCAGCTTCAGAAAAGGATAGGCACTACAATCACATAATTGGCCTTAGAAAGGCCTTTTTTTTTTTTTTTTTTTGTACCAGGGATTGAACCCAGGGGTGCTTAACCATTGAGCCACATCCCCAGCCCTTTTTATATTTTTAGATAAGAGTCTTGTTAACTTGCT